CGCTCTTTTTCCTCGTTCTTCCTCCACCGCCGCCCTCTTGCTGCCGCTGCCCCTTACTGACACCTCCCCGCCGGGGCTCGATGACCAAGTTCTGTTGCTGCACTGCCTGACGGACCTGCTGCAGATGGAGCGCGAAATGACTGCGGCTCTGGTGGCTGTGCTGCCCAAGGGCGGGATCTCGCCCCGGCGCGCGGGCCGCATGGTTTTGAGCCATGTTCTTGGGCTCTTGGCCAAGTCACCCACCGGCGAGCTGGCCGGCATGCGCGATGCTGTGCTGCATGCATTCCAGCTTTGTGCTCTCCTGTCGAGTGTTCGTGTCTCCCCCCCCCCCCTTGCCGCCTCTTCTGGGCCTTGGTGTTCCTTTTGCTCATGCTGTCACTTCCCCCGGTCTCCTGCCCGCCGCCCCTTCCACTCACCCTGCTGCCACCCTTCTGCCCCTCTCCCCAAAGGTGGACTTCATCCTGCGGGAGCTCCTGCGTGCAGATGTCCACCCGGTCTTGGTGAGCTTGATTCAGTTGCACATGGGCTTGAACCGGGTCCCGACGGCCGAGCCGGGCCAGCCTCAGCGCAGCTGGCTACAGGAGGCCATTCACCTGCTTTGGGAGGCAGCCATTCATGTGGACTTGTGCGTTTGATCGGCCGGCTTAACCGTGACAAGGGGCATTCTCTGGCCGCCTGGCCGTGTACATGGGCGGTCTTCTCTCCCCTTGCTCGCTTCCCCCCTGGCCGCCTCTTTGCCTCGTCACTGACCCGCCCCCCCCCTCCTCCTCCTCCCTCCTTGGCCACCTCCCAGCCCTTCGCCCGATGCCACGCAGGCGTCCTTGCTGGAGGCCGGTGATGAGCGCATGCGCGCCACCCTGTCCGGCACGCTGCTCTCGCACTTCCTGCAGTACACCGCGGCGCTGGACCGCTTCCTGGGGCCGGCCCTTGAAAAGGTGCAACTCATCGACCAGGAGTCTGACCAGCCCGTTCGGCCGGCTGGGCAGGAGGAGGGTGCCCTTCTCCAGGCCTTGGACTTGGCCCCGCCGGCCAGCCTGTTGCCTGTCTACTTTTCTGACTCGAGCAAAATGGAGGAGCCCGGGCCAGGGCGCCGCTCCGCGAAGGGCAAGGCCATGGGTACCTCCAAGGCCAAGAACGCGGCCATGGACCCGGCATTGGCCGGTCAACTCCGCGCCTCGGCCGATCGCAAGAGCAAGCTCCTGAAGCAGGTGTCTCAGCTGGTTTTGGACCAGCTCCATGCCCAGAAGGCATCCAGTCACCCGCTGCTGCGTTTGTCCCCGGCCACCAGGGACAAGCAGAAGGCCTGATGGCCATCTCCCTGCACACATGCGCTCGGGCCTGTGGCGGGCGTACGCGCATGCGTGCATGCACTCGCCGTAACAGGCAGGCGCTCACGCCCTTGTGGCCCTCCTCGATCAAAATACACCCGACTGCTTGCTCGCTTGATTTGGTTCCTTCCGCGCTGGGCACATCATGGCCAGCGAGCCGGCAGCCAGGAACTGCGCAAAGGCAGGGGACGGCCAGGTGGCAGGTAGTGGTTGTGGGTGAAGAGAATGGTGGCCCTGGGTGATTGGCCACGTGCGGTGGTCACGCTGGGGTGGGGCACACCGCCCTCCTGCCCCTGGGCCACGATCGGGGAGCGGGCCAGCTGGGGCTGCGCGCGTTTGTTCGTGATCGGTCGTTCCGGGTGCCCCACATATTTGTGGCCCGGGCCCCGCTCCGAGTGTGGAGGCCGGAAGGAGTCCCCCCTCCTCCCGCCGGCTCTGGTCAGTGAAGGGGCCAAGTGTACGCTGTTCCCCCAAAGGGGGGGGGCGGCGGGTGAGGCGGCGCGCCGAGGGTCATGCCCGGCGGGCATCCCATACGGCGCGTCTTTTCACGCGCTCGGGCCGGGCGATCGGCAGGGCAGCCGGACCGGACCAGCTGGGGCAAGATGTCATTCATGCGTGCAGAACAGGAGGCGGCCGAGGGGAGAGAACGCGCTATCCCGGGCCTTCATCTGAGTGGTGGGGGGGGGGGG